CGTGTGTGTGTGTGTGCGTGCGTGTGTGTGTGTGTGCGTGCGTCTGTGTATGTGTGTGTGTGTCAGGTAGGTTCTGTCGCTCAGGCTCCCATCAGATCACCAGGCTTCTGTTCCAAATGGTGCCTTTGAACTGAAGTTTGTTAATTTGATCACCTGAAATAGACCTTGCATTTTTCTGTTTGATGGATGAACACCAGATTAGGTTGGTTCAGGCTTGTGTCGCAGCCTCTTCATGGCTTGTGTATCACAGCTCTGCGTGTCTTGGCCCGTCTGCTGTCCAGGGCACTGGCAGTGTGTCTGTCACTGTGCTCATCACATCTCTAACAACTGCTCCAGGGTGCTGTCGTTCAAGTTTAACGGGAAAAAAAACCCACATGAAAGGGTAAAGTGTCTCTTTGTGTAGCGCCTAATATCTGTTTGATGTTGCAGTGGGAGGCAGTGATTTTATTTACAAAGCAAACTGAAGAAAAGGAGACCCTACAAAGAGGAGGAGCAGAGATTGGTTTATAAAGGAGAGAACATTACAGTCTGGTTATACAGGGATGCACCAAAGCAATTTGTGATTGCAGTGCCAATTTAGAATGGTCTGTTTTTCTTCTTTGTAACCTGCAGTATTTAGAATTATGTTCACAAGTAAGACGTTGGTGCGGAAATTAAGCGTGTAAAGTTAAGCAAGGTCAGAGTCGGTGCTTATCACTCTCAGGAGTGACACCGCAGGCTTGGTGATGGGGGCAGGAACTTGGACGTCAGAGACTGCGACTGAGAAGCAGGGAATACGCTCAGATCCTGTCAGTATCCCTCTGCTTTTTAAAACAAGTGCAAAATATTGCTGTTGTGCTGCAGATTCCCTTGTGTAGCAGGTAAGATGTTTGCTTAAAGGTACTTAATTTTCTGTCACAGTGTCACCTTGCCTGCGCATAAGTATCAAAATGAGGAAAAGTAGCATCGATGAAGAGCTCTCCTCCATGTGTGCAATAAAAACATGCTCAGAGCAGCACAGGGGAATTGATCTCAAACGCGACGTTTAAATGAATTCCTAAATGGTCTCTGAATGACAGCTGATTTGGTTATAATGGAGATAATCCCCAAACTCGCTGTTGGGGGGAATGTTTGTGCATGTAATTGCATTGTTTACTTGCTACAGAATGTCGGCGCAATAGCTAGAATGTCAAATGGAACCGAGCTCGCTAGGGCCTCCTGCTGCGCAGGGAGTGGCATAACAGCAGGTCGGGAAGAAATGCGAGATGTTTGGATTGAAATCTTTTCCAAGGTCTTTCATGTCCACCACCATCACAGCAACTTAGCAGATATTTTTCACCCAAATTGACTTTCCTAAGACAAAATCTTACACTTTAACCTGTTAAACAGATGGATATTTTTTGGAGCAATTTACATGAATTTTCCCTGCCCAAGGTTATGACAGAGGGTCCTTGGTTGGGATTTGAATCAATAAGCTTTTAACTACAAGCCAAAATTTATCTTGGTTTAAAAGCACCAGTTCTCACCTAAACGTTACACTAGAATGTGTCTACGAACAGTTCATACAATTCTTGAATTTTATCTGTGACCCTCATTGCCCAGAAGCTATACACCAGTGAATTGGGTTTTTTTGAGTTTCTTTCTGCCATTCTGCCACTTTACTACAATTTATTACGCAAAATGGATTCTCTCGGAATGCAACATAACTGACTAGTTTTTTCATTTTTTCCAAAACTAATTCATGAAGACAATCAACCGTAATCTGAATAAACCTCAGTTTGTCCACAGGTTGGCGCCCTCTCATGTTGGTGCTGCTCTTCAAAGGCTAGCTGTACTGTATGCTGTAGGGTCGCTGACCAGTGGACCGTGATCCGCATGTCAATCCTTAAGACATTCCTAGTGAGTCGCGACCCCTTCACTCATGTTTGTATACAGTACTTGTTCAATAGTTGATGAAAATAATTCCACAGTGTCAGACGAATGATCAGTGTTACTACATGATGAGCGTTCAGGTTTAGCTTGGGGGGCGTCTAAGTGTCCCATTTTAGTCAGCCCCCCCCCCCAGGGTTATCACCTCATTGGAAATGGGCCCGGAACAAAGCTATATTTAATATATACATTAAAGAGGAAGACAGCTCTTCATTCTTAGGAATCGTTCACACTCGATGACACCATTTTTTGGTTGCTGTTGGCTTCTATCGCTTCTGTAATTTTTTTCAATATTCCTCCAATTTCAGCCCTAACAGCAGGACAGTGACTTTTTTTCTCCGTCGCTGCAAAGAAATGCGGATCTTTAGAAGGCAGCCTGGTTCGCGTCCCAAGACAGAGCAGGTACAAACATACTTAAGTGAGGATTTCGCAAATGACAGCGTTTTAGTCTCTGGACGGAAGCAATATAGCTTTCTACAGAAATGGGCCGAAATAGACAGTGCTGTGAGCTCCTTGGCAATTTCAGCACTGGCACTGGTGCGCAGTGTAAATGACGTCGATCTGAGTTAGCGATCAGAGGCTCTCCTTCAAAGTAAACGATGAACCTGAGTAAGTCTGGTGGAAGCCCTTCCAGTTCTTAATCAGAAAACTGTCTATTCCAGCTCTCAGGTAGGATTCTGCCGCTGGGGTGCCCTGCGTGCAAAGGCTGTGTTTCCTCCCTGGCAGTGAGACGGCTGTGCAGTTGAGCCACCTGCCGACCCCTCAGCCTGCGCGTGTCACGGCTGTGACCGCAAACACTGCGGTGTAGACAGCAGGCGCCGTAAGCCAGTGTCCTGACCGTCGCTCTTTCCCGAAGAACCTCGGCTGAAGGGCCACTCCCAGGCAGCTTCTGGGCCGGCTTGTCATTCGTCGCCATTCCACTGCTTTTCCTCTGTGATATTAGAATTCACCAGTATGAGAAAAGGCTTCCCAGTATAAGACTCATCTTCATATAAACAGTGGATGTGCCACATTTTGGCAGTGACGCAATCGAAAAAGCAACCGAATTACACTGGATAAAACTGCAGCTGGTTCAGTGTGAATGTTTCTAAGTCTGTATTGTGAGTGAGAGATCTTAAATATCAGAGTGGGAGGGTGTGACCAGACTTTTGGCAGTTACATCATTGTTTATATAGATCTAAAATTCAAGAGGTTTCTGTGCTGCCATCAAGCGGATAATATTGTAGTACTATTATAGTAATATAATTGTAGTACTGTAGTAATGCATGAGTACCACTTCATGGGCGAGCGGCCTTTTGGTCTGCTGGTCCCGATTCAGTGACCCAGTGGTCTGGGACACTGTCCCACTTTGTGCTTATTGACTCAGCTGCTGAGGCAGCCATCAGGCATCTGCGTCGGATGTGTCTGGACCTGCCGTGGTGAGGCTCTAGCGCCCCCTGCTGGGCCGTCGCCTGTGTTGCCCTCTCGGTACGGCATCCTGCATCTGCTTGGGCATCTGTTTGCGTTTTAGCCCGTCGTGCTGCCTGCCGCGCTCATATTTCTCATCCCATAAGCCAATGATCTTCTGGACTCTGCAGGACCATTCTGCCTGCAGCCTACATGTTGCGTGTTAAATGATCATCTGTCTGCTCTCACTTCCAAGCCTTTTGTCGTCTCCCAAATAAATATCTTCTGTCACTCTTTGCTGTAAGGTGTGGAGAGTCTAGACACTTTTGAAGCACGATTTGTCACGGTCGAGAACTAATAACTGCAGCCAATTAGACACACTGCTGCGGGCAGAGACGCAGATTCCATAAAAGCCAGTGTGATATATTCGATCCACAAAGTAAAAAAAAAAAAAAACGCTGTAAAATGTCACCATTTCTAGAAGTTGATAAGGCGTGACCTACAGAAACAGCTCTGCCTGTCTGCTAAATTCACCTGCCAGGGAATTTCGAGGGGCCTCCGCTTCATTCTCACCTTCAGTTCGGCAGTTTTTGACATGAATGCTGGATTCCATTCGCTTACAAGAAAGCGACTTTCCACTCCGCAGTTAAAACACCATTCTTTAAGACCTCCAAGATGGCGATCCCACAGAGAGGTCATTATTACGATGTTTTTTTCCCAAACAGAAGTGCCTTTTTAGTCACAGCATGTTCACTGACGGAAAACCACTGAACCGAGAAGCCGAGGCTGCGGTGTGAATGAAGGGCACGTTTAAGCTAGCAAGCGCCAAGTACGTCTCATACCACATGAAAAGGACGAAGGATACTACTTGATTGTGATTTTTTTGAAAGCCAGAAAGGAAAATTTCATTTATGTAATACCAAAGACATACTGCACTCACAGCATGAGAAATTCTTATTCTGATTCACAGAAATTTGCCTTGAAAATTATAAACACACTCTGCCTCTGTGCCTTCACATTTGTCTAAAGCTGTCTAAAGCTTCAAAGGGCAGGGTTACAATTTCTGAGCCCTCCACGGGATTTAAACCAACAACCTTTGTACTGTTAGCGCGGCGCTGTATCTGTCGAGCCTTCAGGAAGTTTATGTTCCAATGACTTTATAATCCTTTGCGTTCCGCTGCAGGAAACTCATCCAGGAAAGACTGACCTGGGACGGCATGTTCTGCCGGCGGTGTGCAGCGCCCCCTGATGGATACAGCTAGTCCTGCCATGATGGAAGCGGGGAGCTTCCCAGAGGAGGTCCCCACTGCCCCCAATGCCACCAACTGCTCGGGGTCTCCGGGGGGGGTCTTACAGCCAAAGTCAGCCACAGAGGCCACGCTGGTGGCCGTGTTCCTCGGGATCCTGACGCTGATGACCGCCCTGGCCAACGGCGGCGTCATCGCTGCCATCAGTACCACCAGAAAACTGCACCTTCCCGCCAACTACCTCATCTGCTCATTGGCCGTCACGGACCTGATGGTGGCGGCCCTGGTGATGCCCCCCAGCACGCTGTACATCACGGCGGAGGCCTGGTGGTTGGGCCGCATCACCTGCGAGGCCTGGCTCAGCATGGACATGACCTGCTGCACCTGCTCCATCCTGCACCTATGCGCCATCGCCCTGGATCGCTACTGGGCCATCACCGACGCCGTCCAGTATGCCCGCAAACGGACCGCGCGCCGTGCCGCCGCCACCGTGGCGACCGTCTGGGCCATCTCCGTGTCCATCTCCCTGCCGCCGCTGTTCTGGCGGAGCCACCGCGCCTTGGGGGCCGTGCCCAGCAGCGCCACCCAGTGCATCATCGAGCACGACCACGTGGGATACACGCTGTACTCCACCTTCGGGGCTTTCTACATCCCCATGGCGATCATCCTGGTTCTGTACTATCGCATCTACGCGGCCGCTAAGGCACTCTACCAGAAGCGGGGTTCCATGCGCTACCTGAGTGGACGCAGCACCGACAGCCAGAACTCCTTCGCCTCGGACCCCACACTGGACCTGGACCGGCTCCACGTCACACTCCGCGTGCCGCCCTGCGAGGTCTGCTCCTCCTCCCGGGAGCGCAAGGCCGCCCGCATACTTGGCCTCATCCTGGGTGCTTTTGTCCTCTGCTGGCTGCCCTTCTTTGTCAAGGAGCTCCTGGTGGGTCTGCACCTGCTGAGCCCCTCCCCGAAAGTATCCGACGCCCTCACCTGGCTGGGCTACGTCAACTCTCTCATCAACCCCCTGCTTTACACCAGCTTCAATGAGGACTTCAAGCAAGCCTTTAAAAAGCTGTTCAGGTGCAAAGACCACACACAAACCATGCACAGACCACGCGCAGCCCACTCGTAGACCACATGTAGACCGCAAAGAGCCACGCCTTAGGACAGGACCAGTCACATTCTGTAAAGTGTTCTCATCTGCCAGCTCATGTTTTTTCTTTGTCTTTCCCAACAAAATTATCGACAAAATTCATAAGCTGATATACGTTCATCTCCAGAAAGGCAGTGTTGAGGAGAGGCAGGAAATCACGTACAAGAACAGCTGTAAAAATGAATACACAGGTATACCAGGCAGGTTCAAGAGAGGTTACAAGCGGGAGAGAAACTGTACAGGAATCATGCTGCTTTTTTACACCTGATATTTCCAAAAGACATAAACCTTAAAACCAAAAATGGGAAGAGCTGTTAATCTACAGTAAATGGGGCAGCACAGCTTTATGGAACTGTATTCCATTTTGTTTCCTTATTAAAGTATTACCACACATTGGAGAACGCGGAGTAAACTCACCTATGTTCCTATTATTGCTGTTTTCGTTTTGGTAGCTTAATCAGTATGTTGATCCAAAGGGAATGAAACTTTTAACTATTAGCCTATTAGCCTATTAGCCGCGACACCAGCTGCAGTCCTGCTGTCCTGAGACGTTACCGGAAAGTTCAAAAGTGGTGATTTGAGATTTAAAAAAAAAAATATCTGATTAGACCGTTTCCTAACGATGCAGCTGCATAACCCATTTAATTTTGCTGGGAATGAGTGTTTGGAGACACTCAAATGAAACCTGATTTGTCTCAGATCTGAGCTTCCTACAAGAATTTACTCCATGTAATGAACCATCAAGCTGTTCTAGGCACAAATATGCTGTTTATCTATGAGCCAGTAATTCGCTGAGGATTCAGATTGAAATGCGAAATGTTTATAAGTTATAGAGACGAGAGACACCCATTAAACACGCCTCGCTTGCTAAATAGCTAGAAACTCGGCCATGTTTTAGGATTCAGCGTGTTCACTGAATATGTGTTTTAAAATGATGCAGCTCCGTGTCTGTTCGTGTCATTTCATCTACCTATATGTCCTGTTGAGCTGCAAGTCAGAGACATTGCTGGCAATAATGTAAGGCTTGTCTCCTTCAGGGTTCGACCTAACGGTAAAATGCATGTGTAAGTATATCAGTAATAGCATAGTTACCTTCTAACTCAACTAAAGGATTTTGTATACAAAAAAAAAATACTTATCCCAACTGAGGAAGTACATAAGTTATTAAAAGTCTTTTCGGTTCGCAATCATAATAATAGTGACATATGTGCTTCTGCAGTGTATTTTCAGATACAGTGCCTTGAAAAAGTATTCAGACCCGACATTGTCCATTACAATATATGTACAAATTAATTTATATTAATAAAATACTTTTTAAGAAAAATGTTTTTCTACATATATGCTGATATTGCTGAAACTTAAAAGGAACTTAAGAGGAAAAAAATGAAACATGGTTCAGTGCAGATGGTAGACAGGAGGAAATGTGCTTCTAGACATGGAAGGTACAGGGAACATCCAGGAGAGTTGGGTCATTTGTGTGTAATATGTTGACTGCTTATAAATCCTGGTCCTTCGATTCAGTATTTATCTTCATTAGCGCTCAGAGCTGCAAAGTCCCCCAGCTTTGCCTACTGGTTTGGTACAAATTCTTAAACTCCACTTGGCAAATATAGCCACTTTCCAGAAAAAGATGGTTTCTAGACAACATGTTAGTAGGATTCAAGTCAACAAGCTGACTGGACCATTAAAGGGTATTTACTTTCTTGCTTTTAAGCCATTCAAGTGAAATCGCTTTCCTGTAACAGCCAACAGTTTCCCATTTTGAAATCAAGGGCTCAATCAATGATAGCTGCGGTTTCCAAAGCAACAGAGGCCAGGTGATATCAAAATGCCTTATTAGTGGAAATCTGCCAAACACAACAAGGGATGCGTTTCTGTCACCTGTTACCCGAATGCAGACAGTGCATGCAACATATCGAAGGACTTCCACTCAGATATACATATTTGCCAGGTACGTACCATACTACCGAAGGGGTTAAAGATCCACACAATTCAATTAACAATTCACTTAGCACTCAATTCATTTTAAATTAATCAATTGCTTGAGTTTCAAGGACTTGCAAAGCGAATCACTGCCAGGTCTGTATTCAGTCACAGCAGGTGGCACTGCCGTGTCTGTCACGTACGACCGGCTCCTCTCACGTCACTGGGCCGCGCTTCCATTAGAGGGATCACATTCTTCTTGTGCATCCTGTGGTTCTCCTCACTTCTTAGAGCCATGAGGGGTTCTCGCTGGTATCCAGGCAACGCTGGTAAGGCATCACGACTGCTAAGCTAACAGTGACCTACGTGGTTATTTTTAAAGGTAAATATCCAGACAAAGTAAAGCTCCACTGTTGTCTTAATTGTGGCAGGAGAACAACATAACACCACTGTTCTTGAAAATCTGCTTTGCCAAACACACGTATGTGGTGGGTTTTACAACAGATGCTTCAGGCAGACATGCTACCTGAACTGCTTCAGAAAATAACTACTTACATAAAGGTTGTTTGTTCACGTTTCCTTACAGGGTGAGCTTCTTTAGGGTGGCTCATTTGGTCCAGATGCTTCGAAAGCAGATTGTACATATAGCTCAGAACATCAAACTAGGCCGCTTAGCTCTACAAGACACTAGGGATTCACAAAGGTGACTGCAGCCTTGAATTAGTCAATTTATTTCATTGCTTAGGTTATTTTATTTGACTTAGTGGGTTCTTAATACTGCAAAAGGATTCTGGGCTTATAACTGCACAGGCCTCTGGCTGGAGATCTGATCCCACTCTGCACTCATATTATGCTAATGGTCATTTTGACTCTTATCCATCTTGTAATATGATAGTTATGGTTCGTTTATTTATTTCAGAGTTTTATTAAAATTCCCTTTTCACATCTGGAGTCATGAGATCATATGGAGCCCTTTCACACAAATATGCTGTTGGACATTTTCACCTGCATACTTTTGAGCTGTACATATAAAGTCCAAAATAAAAGCATTTTTGATTCATCTTTGGTGTCATCGAACTCATTTATATTTTGAATGATTTTAATTATTCTTCTGTTAATTCGTGAAGGTATAAAACAGCTTGGAAAACCTTTACTTTTCCTTAAGTACTTTTGAATGGAGATTAGTGGCAAGCTAGAAGTTTTAGAGTTTAATGGAAGTTCTGAGACAGAAGACTTTGATTATCCTGAGTTTGTAATGATGCAGATAATGATTCAGAAGAATCTACCACACTGTATTATGATCAGAAGAAAGTAAGGAAAAATGGACACTTACAGCAGGGTATCATCATGACACAGCTAATTCCAATATAATCAAAATAACAATGTGGCATTTGCAACTGTGTCAATACATTCATATACAACAAACATTTGAAGTCTTATCTCCATTAACACAGAAAATCCCCACTCCCGATACAACAGAAACCCACCACTGAGACTGCTGGTGAAGAACTGGGAGATATGAAATGATTATGCCTTGTTGGCCCCCTTGGGGATTCTTTTTTCCCCGACCCCAACTTGCCATCTGTAGGTGAGAGCAAGCTGGCCACAAAATGTAGCCACCTGTAGTTACACTCAGGGAGCTGGGGGTTAAGGGCCTTGCTCAAGGGCCCACAGATGTGCTGAGACCAGGGTTGGGACCAGCAACCTTCTGATTACATGCAAAGAGGCTGAGCCCACTGAAGCACACGCTGCTGGAGAGCCAGGAACATGAGTGAGGGGCTACAAAATAAAAATGATACACATTACACATGGCGACTTCTTCATATCCTAAAGCGTTACAGCTGAGCTCCAAACGAGGAGGAGCCACTATCAAGCCGGCACAAGCCTGTACTACACAGTGGACAGGAGGAGGATGCACACATACACTTAACCGTGCACATTAAACACACAAAGCACACACGCAGGGCTGAGACACAGTACAAACCCCAGCCCCAGCTATGTACATGAGGCAACAGCACTACCCACCCGAGAGCGCTATTTAAAGGCTTCTAGCAAACATTTGCACAAAGCTAGCTTGCAGTCCACTTTTAAATGCTCAGAAATATCGCGAGGTTTTTTTTCCAATGCAATGTTGGTTGCATATTTTCGTGCGACTGATGTCCTCAGCCACATATAATGAAATATAATGAATTACCATAAGGATCTACAAAACACTAGGGATTTACAAAAATAAGTATAAAGAAACGAAACACTGGTGTAAAATCTGTAACTTTTTAAAGACATTTTATGTGTTCTGTAATCAAATAAAAAGATATCTACAATGTCAATTAATGAAGTGCAAATAGAAAAGAAAAAAAAAACAATGGGGAACTTTGCAGTCCCCATTATGTCCACGTGTCGGCGCTGCGCATTTTCCAGCCCTTCTGCCATCTACAGTGGGGATTTTTGCCCTTTTCTAATGAAAGGCTATGCAGTCCAAAATACGTCATTCGCTGGCCGATAGCGCTAATGCAAATTAATGCGAATACAGAAAACACCGAAATATTACTAATTTCCTCAACATATACAAAGGAGGAAAATTAATGCCATATTCTCGTAAAATGATAAGAAACTGTAAAGACGCTTAATTTTCTGCCATTACAGACCCAGCATAAAAATAACTGTACGCCGAGAGACTGGCGCCCGCCCGAGGCTATGCGCAGACCAGGCTACCGCCGCAGCGCCATTTACAGCTGATCAGATTTGTTCATCGAGCAAGCGAGCGAGCCTTAACAGCCCAGCGTCACGTGACGCCGCGTGCGTAGTCGTACGTGTGCGAGCCCGGTCACGTGAGGCTATGTGCGTACGCGGCGGAGTTGGGTGTGAAGATGGCGGACGAGGAGGCCGAACATGATCGTAGCGCACAGAGCGGCGCCAGCGCGGCGGTGGCGGCTCTCGGAGAGCGGCTGCAGGGGCTGGCCGCCGCGCTGAAGAGCAGCACGCAGTCGCCGGTGCAGTCCGCATCCCAGTACTGCCAGGAGTTCTGCCAGGTCGGTCAGTTATTTCTAAAGCTCGATGAGCATCGGGGCGATTTCAAAATAAAGCCGCACAAACGGTGTCGGTCTGAGATCGGAGCGACCGCTGAGCGAGCGGCGGCTTTGCAGGAGCATCCGAGCGCTCCTTTGTGTCGGATGCAGGACGCGCGTCCCAGCCTCGGGCTCGTGCATCGCGCCAGGTTTCCTCAGGACTGGCTTGTTGTTGTTTCCCCGTAGCCCGCTGGCTAACGCCGCCCCGCCGAGGCTGCGGCGCTGGACGGAGCCGAGCGCGGAGACCCCCGCTGCTGCCGAGGGATGTTCATCCTTCATTGTCATGTCAGGCGCTCCGGCTCTGTCCCCAGCAATGTCATGCCGGTCTTATTCCGCGTCGGGGGTGCAGCCGCACTGCCGGATCCCCCGGCGATCGTTACCGGGAATCTCCGGCGCCGTGAAGTTTGCCACCTTTTGCACATGAAATTAAGCGGCGCTTTGTGACGGTGCCGCCGCAGAGCCCCGAATTGGCTCCCCGGGCCCTTGCGGCTGTTTTGTGTGTTTTTTTATTTTCCCTGACTGCGCCGTGCATCGCTGTCTGCCAGTAGATCATTCATGGCGGCCGGAGCCTTGCGAGCGGTCATTGTTAGGCTGCGGACGCGCATCTGCGGCTGATTCGCCGACTTCCCGGGATCGGAGCCGGCGATGCGGCCAGTTAATGACGGGACGGGGGTTTCGGCCGCCACGCCGCCTTTGGAGCTGGAGGGGGGTGTCTCCCCGGCCGCTGGGCAGCTCCTTTTGTTGGAGGTCGCCGTGAATGAACGGGGTAAATCGGTGCGTCTCCGAGGCGGGGTGAAAGTCGCCCCCGGTGCCGTGCACAGTGTCTGCTTTAATAACCCATTTTCCGCTGCCTCCACCCCATTTCTGAGTTACGATTTCTCGCTGGGCTGCCAGAGTTTCGTCGTGATTAATCGGTAATTTCTTCAGCCGCAGGTGATAAAAGCTGACTGGCTTTCCATAGGCAAGTTGCCTCTATTACTGAAACCGAAGCATTTTCCAGTAATGAATATTTGACTGTAAAATCGTAGTTGTATTTGTTTGAAGGCCTGCAGTTTCCTTGGAGAGAATAATCTTTTTGTAAAAGTACAGTTTGTACTATAGGTATGGAGTATATAAATATCAAGTTGTATGTGTTGAGGTTTCTAAACTACAATGGAAATGTGACACTGTAATGGTTTACATTTTCTGAGTAATTGTCATGGCAAGTGCATGGTTAATATATGCATTTGTCAACAAATTGTACTTTCTCCCTATTTAATTTACGTTCTTTCTGTGCAAATGGTTACTTTGCAAAGATGAAAGCTGTTTCTGTAGTTAAGAGGCTGTAAAATGAAGCAGATTAAAATTTTCTCTGAAATCAATGAGTGTCTGGGGCAGGATGGGAGTCTGGATGTATTCTGAAGGTATGTTTTGCTTGTGACTGTAAATCCCATGGCAGTCGCTCACGTGCTGTGGTTTCCTGTTCAGGTGCCAACAGAAGATGCAAACGAATGCGTCCCATTGGGTGGGGAGGATGGTGATAATAATGGAGATGAACAACAACATCAGAACCTCAAGTGGGCCCCGAGAGGCCTGCGGGCGATATTTTGCGTTAACAGCTTCCAGAAATGACTGCCTCAGGACGTGTGGGGATCCTCGTAATTGTTGAAAAGTGTTATTGTTGTTGTTCTAGCTTGTTGGTAGCTTGTTTTCTAATTTTGAATTCCGATCTGGTGTTGATGATGTTAGGTGTCTGGCCTAAAACCAGAACTGATCTCTAATTAGGCAAAACTTTGAGCTTCCAGTCAGTAGGTCCACATACAGGTATGAATGGTAGTAATCTGCCGCTAGCCTTGTTTCCCAAAACAATAACATTCTTTTAGATGCCACTTTATATGTCTGGATTGTTGCTGTGGGGCATGGAAAGTCTGTTAGAGAAACTAGCAGATTTCCAGAGCGAGGAATGCACCCAGGAGCACTGTGAGGAGGAACACGCTTGTTTGGCCCTCGGTCTAACGGTGCCAGCGAGTGGGATCGCGGCGGCTATAAAACGGCGTGTGTTTAACATGCTGAGAGGTTACTACAGTGTGTTTGCTAGGCTTTGACACTCTCCAGCACTGCCCAGGTAAAAGAAAGATATAATGCTTGTTCCTTGTGGGTCTGCTCTGTTCCTTTAGGCAGACTGTTGGTCTGATGGGTGAAATTTAATGTCTTGGCTGGGGATTGGAAGGTTTGGGAGACCAGTGTAATTAGCTGGTTATGATTTATAAGGTGGAAAATTGCATATGTGTGGATGTCGGGCCCTTTGTTTATGTTTGGATATCGGTGTTACCATCCTTGCTGTTGCTCATCAAGTAGAAAGTCGCAGTGACAACACAAAGGTTGTGGGTTCAGATCTCAGAGCTCACTAAAAACGGATTTGTTACCCTTCCCTCTACTGTCTAACACTTTGAATGAAAAGGTCAGAAATACGAATGTAAATGTTACCACTCCCGTGAAGCATGTATTTTTCTCGTTTTCTCTTTCTGTTAAAGTGTTAGAAGTGTTTAAGCCAGACAGACCTGGTCTGGGCTTTCATGGCGACTAGCTGCCTAAATAGGTGGCTGTCAGTCATTCTCACCACTATTTTCAATGAGGATTCACAGCCTATTAGGTCATCATGTAGGACCCCCTTTTTTCTTGCACCAGAGTTTTAGTTTCTTGTTTGAGGGATGTAACTTTTGTAGAATGTGGCGTTGGGCCCCTTTTGACTCCTGGTGAGGCGGCCCCGGGGCCCATCCTCAGGTCTCTGGGACCTGCCCTGTCGCTCCAGGCTCTTGCCCCAGCCCAGCCTCGCTCTGTATATATACAAGCTGCGTGGGTCGCCAGGCATTTGGGATAGAGCCTCAGAAATGTCAGGATGATCTTTGGGTGGCTTCCAGGCTGATCGTTTAAGGCTGGGTTTATGTCCCACTTTCCATTGGGTAAAAAATCACAGCTGGTAGCATCAGCAGATCTGCAAGCAGCACTGCGTCTCGTACACAAGCTGGAGGAATGATGGCGCCCCAAAGGGAGTTTCTCATGTGAACGGTGTCCAAGGCTCAAGCTTTTAGCTGAGGTATGTTCAAAGTGCTGTGGCTGATGTTATGTAAGGCAAACTGAAAACCTGCATGGGGGGTTTTAAGGTGTTATGGTGCATCTCAGAGACTTGGGTGGTGGGAGCGAGGAAGCGGCCGCGTGTTTGCGGAGCTGAGGGGGTGCATGGGACTGCGATTCCCGGCTCCATATCCTCATCCAACTCCGGAACGCCGTAGTGCTTCGTAAACAACAGGTCATCTCGCTTCCGTGTGAGACAGGTGCACGTCTCTGGCGTTACCCCAGGACATGGAATCGGGGGGTCCGGAGGGTAGAGGAGATGTAGGTCGGGTTGTATCAGATCAGCGAGTTCACGAGACCGAAGACACTCGTTTGATTTAGCTGCATATTGGGTAGGGTGAGCCTCTGGAGATTCTCAGCTGTTGTGTGAGCTTGTGTAGAGGCACAGATGGAGCCCCCCCTCCCCAAGCCCCACCAAGCTCCCTGTAGCGCCACACATCACGTCAGCTCAGCTGGCCACTTCACCCCCTGCGTGCAGGAGGGGGCCCTGATTGACCAAATATATTTTAGATGCCCCGCTGCTCCTCGCCGCCAATTGCGCCTCGATGAATATGCATGACCTTGCGCCCCCTGTGGCCGGCTGTTGTGTGGCGTTCGTCTTCTGCTTTACTAACTCCATCATGGGAGTCGCAGGAGGGATGTCTTCATGTAGAAGGTGCGTTAGGGATTTATGTTATTTTTATTTCGGTGCCCGTCTCCGTGAGGTTCTCGCACTGCCGTGTCCTCGACGCGCAGACACTCCTGGTGAATCAGAGTTCGCCATCCCCGTATTTCGGGTGGGCAAAAAAAAAACCGAAAAACTAGTTTGTTAAAGGCTGAACCATTTCAACATGTGCTTCACTGGCTGGAATAAATGCAGTTTGGGAAAAAGTGATCCAGATTACCTCGTATCTGGATTTATGCTACTATAATGTGATCTGATCTTCGATTCTATGTATCTTCTTATGGCTTTTCACATCGTTATAGCTATATTGAATAAATTGTTAAAGCAGTGACTGTCGTTGATTGGGAAAAAATATGTAAACTAATATCCTTTAACAGTAACCTCAAGAAACCGCTTCTGTGGCTGCTGATCAGACCCATACCGTGGTTAGGAGGTATCTATACAAAACTGTTTTGGTTCTTGTATTTTTTAGGAATGTCTAGCTTCTGCAGACTGCTTTTGACTATGGTGCAGCACTTCAGTGGGAATGAGTTCGGGACTCTGTCAAACTCAGCACTGCTGGGGATTTACACCTGTAGTATTGTTGTATTGTACAGCCCAGCTATTGGGATTTAGACGCAGATGGGAGCCCTGAGCGTCTGCTGTAGATGTTTCTTTTATTCTTTGGGTATCTCTGACCCCTTCATCGCCGTGCTGCAGAGCCGAGGTCAGGCTTTGGTATGTCGAGTCCTTTTTTTTCTCTCTCCAAACATAACATTTTGTCCATTTCCCAAGAAGTTCAGATATTTTCCGTCGTCTTTTCTCTTTAGTTCTTTAAACGTGGTCTTTAGCAAGCTTGAGGTGGGCCGCAGTGTGACCTCAGAGAGCGATTCACCTCCCAGTGTGACCTCAGAGAGCAAGTCACTGCCCATCAACAGCACTCCGTTTTCTTTCTTTCTTTCTTTCTTTCTCATGGTGCACTTATGAGCACAGACATTATCCAGGGCAAGAGATGCAATAGTGCTTAGCTGTCACCCTGGGGATCCCTGTCACTTGTTGCAGTCTGCCGTGCCCTTGCTTTGACCTTTGCAGTCTTCCGTGTCCTTGCTTTGACCTTTGCAGTCTTCCGTGTCCTTGCTTTGACCTTTGCAGTCTTCCGTGTCCTTGCTTTGACCTTTGCAGTCTGCCGTGCCCTTGCTTTGACCTTTGCAGTCTGCCGTGTCCTTGCTTTGACCTTTGCAGTCTTCCATGCCCTTGCTTTGACCTTTGCAGTCTGTCGTGCCCTTACTTTGACCTTTGCAGGTTGCCCTCTCCTAAGCAGAAGAGCGACGGTGCTGAATTTCTTCCATTTGTTAAGTGTCTGCCTGACTGGGGACTGTAACTAACATAGTCACTGGTCTAGACCTCCTCCTTTAACCTATACCAGTCTTGTGCTTCTGTAGTTCTAATGCTGAGGTCCTCAGAAATCTGTTGATTGGTGATATTGCTCTTGGCTTCCATTGTGAAGAGCAGATGGCCAAAATTGTATTTGCACAGTCGGCATAGACAAAGCCCATCCCGAATCAATCAGAGCACCTCTCTCCAGTTACCCTCTTTTTCAAGAAGTTGTTATTCTAGAGGTTCACATTCATTTTCCATCAATGACCTTGATTTAATCCCTTTCTCTCTGCACTGCGTGCCTGAATTGATTGTGTATGTGCAGTAAATCGATGGGCCACTTTCTGTTGGCTGTATGCGTGGTTTGTGTAGCTGCTCTTCCTGCCAGAGATGGATCCTGCTTGTTGTGCAGTATATGGCTACGTGACGATGACTCCGCCGCTTTGTAAGCAGCCGCCTCGCCTGCGCAGCCAGGCAGGGGCACTGTGTCTTCTCAGGTCATGTGACTCCACCGCAGCGTCTGGCTTCAGACGGGGGGCCGTGGGTTTGTGTGCTTGCTGAGGAGGCAGCCCCCGGCTGCTGGCCGCGGGTCCAGGGTGACCCCTGACATTTGTGACCGGCCACAGCTATCTGGTGACGTGTCTTTTTTAAAAGGGTCAGGCTGTCTGGAGGAGAATCATTGTGTCACATTTAATGTACATCTGAGTGTGAGTTCCTGTGCTATTAATATAGCATGAATATACCAGTGATGCAGAGGTGAATTTGGGGTGTGTAGGAAAGCCCTTCTGCCCTGCCTGTGTCATCAGTGGCTAAGAGCAGATCCTGGACCAGCTGCAGAAGCTGTTTGCAGAGCACCTGGTCTCCTGCAACCTTCCCTGCTGAACATCGTTATGGCGGAGGGGGCGCGCCTTCCCTCTCGGCCAGCGGGGCGGCGCCGTGGCAGGTTGCCCGTGTCTGATGGCTGCGAGCACCTGACAGGGGGATTTCTTGGTGACCGATATCCTGCATGGAGGCTTTCAGCCTGAGGAGGAGGAAACTCTGCAGAGGCTCCAGAAGAGGCCAGTGCAGTGTTCCTGCTTTAGCGATTGCTTCCATTTACTGCCCCTTCTGACAGCATGCCTGTCTCGTATTGATCACGTATTGTACGGAGATGCGGGAGACGGGGCTCTGTCAGTGCCTCTTTGGGATCTCCAGTTGTCAGCGGTTAACGTCGCTCTGCATTGCCTCCGTGATCCGTTACTCAGGTACAGTGAGTGTTGACTGTATCGGGGTCTTCGGCGTCCTCCCCCCTGGCTGTGTGGGACCGCCGAGTGCGTCTAAGCGACTGAGTGCTATGGGGGCTCGTCTTGGACCTTCCGGGTCTGTCATTCTGCGGTGGATTCTGCTACCCTGCTTACCCGCTCTTCCCCCGAACAGTCGGCCAGGAAGGTGACTCTGTCTTTCGCACTTCAGCTGAGCCATCTGAACGGATCGGTCATCCGGATTCTTTGGGAACACCCGGAAATTCCCAAGCCTTTCCCTCTCTATAGGCTCTGATTGGGCAGTTACTGTCCGGAATGATGTCGCCATCACATTCATCGTTTTGTTTTTAATTTTTATTTATTTTTTAAAAATCTGCTTTCATTGAGAAGTGAGGCTGAGGCTTGTGGTTTGAGGTGAATCGAGTGAGCAGAACCAAACTGGGATATCAGGAGGGTCATGGGTAATTTCACAGATCTTTCTGGAACCGTTTCGGGCAGTTCTTTTGGTTCTCAGCCTTCGCATGCGCTAGAAATATTAGTCTGAGGTAACATTTTAAGAGAAGGGTGCAGTGATTCATTACGGGCTTGTTCTCGGTGATGGTGGTCTGCGTATCTGTATCTGCTGTTCACTCAAGGACGGAACATAGCATGACAGGCTGGTAATGACACTGTTTTGGGTGTCTTGTAAATCTCTCTCCCCCTCTCTCTCTACCCCCTGCCCCTCCCTCTCCCCCTCTCTCTCTGCCCCCCTGACAGACGCTGCTGGAGTACGCAAGCCGATGGCGGATGGAGGAGGACCCCCTGCCCTTGGTGCAGGTGTACACCACGGCCCTCGTGAGCTATGCCCATGCCGCGGCCTGCCTCTCCATGCAGTGCGAGAACGTTCAGCTGGTTCTTGAGCGCCTCACGCTGTGAGTTTATCCCTAACATATACCTAAAGCAGCCCGTCGCTTTAAATCGAGCCGCCCGAGCGGAAACGGCATCGTCGTCGTTAGCATCCTGCTAGTTGTGGATTTCTCTAATGCAAGTCAATAACTAATGACGCTGTCAGTTTATGTTGCTGTACTGCTAAAATGACTTTAGTGCTTTGTGTTGAAACCATGGGTTCCTCGTCTTTAACCAGCATGCCCTCTGCTGGCCTTTTGTGCTCAGGAGGATGCCAGAGAAATATAGAGCACTGCATGTTCCAGGGTGAAACGTTAGATTAAAAAGTCACAGTAAAATTACAGTCGGTACAAACGCAAGATTGGGGGTTGTTTTCGCTTTTCTTTTTTTGTAACCAGTGCACTCTGCAGTTCTTCATCTTACCCTGTGCAGCTGGGTGCTTCCTTACGCAGTGCCTGGTTAAAGGGTAACTTGGGTGATTTACACATCATACGCAGCTTGATTTGTATCACAAAGCTTGCTTGTTTGGGAATGGTGTGTCCGAGAGAGCACTAAGACAGACTGAACACACACACTGGAGACCAGGGCTTCCTGCTGCTGGAGGTCTACACACACACACCCCCCCCCAGGCCAGGGCTTCCTGCTGCTGGAGGTCTACACCCCCCAGGCCAGGGCTTCCTGCTGCTGGAGGTCTACACCCCCCCCCCCCCAGGCCAGGGCTTCCTGCTCCTGGAGGTCTACACCCCCCCCAGACCAGGGCTTCCTGCTGCTGGAGGTCTACACCTCCCCACCCCCACAGAGCTTAGGTGCAGCCCTGATGTAACACACCTAATGCAGATAATCAGGTCCTTCAGTCGCACCTCAGTATTAGAGGTGGACACTAAGCTCTGCAGGGTGATGGATCTCCAGGAGCAGGAATGAGAAGGCCTGCTGTAGATGACCATCCCCCAAGGAAATACTTTTCTAATAACATTAGGACTGGAATGTGTTCGATTTCATCAAGTTTATATTCCGGAAGTAATGTGGGCAAATGAAGTCATGGAGACGGGCACTGGAAATATCTCACCACAGCTGGGATTTGACGTGCGTGGTCCTGGTCGGGGTTTTTCAGAGGTGGTCAGAGAGTGTAATTACTGCAACCTGCCCAGCAAGGTCAGTGTACACTGCACGGTGTGCTGCGTTTCTCAGGAAGACACGAAACCGTGAAAAATGTGCGGCGGGAGAAAAGTCGTTTCACAATCTGCCGGCCCAGTTAGCAGGAGGGGCAAAGTCTGGCTTTAAAATGGTCACAAATGGGGGGAGCAGGCTTCTGTGTGTTACGGAGGAGATGGGGGAGGGGAGTATGCCCAGGGCTGGGATAACAAGGCGCGGACGGCAGCGGCGCTCATTAGACGTCTCCTTCATCCCTCCTCTGTCCTTGCGGTGATATAATGAAGCACAGCGAAATGGAGGCAGGCCAGCAGATGAGGGCAGGCCGGCAAATGGAGGCAGAGGTGCCGAGTCGGAGCGGGAGATGAAATGATGTCCTGCCTCTCTCTCTGTGTCCGAGACAAAGCGTGCTCTGTCGTTGGTGCAGGGTGACAGGCCTGTCCCTCATAATTACTCCTGATTTGTGGCCATTTATCTCATCTTCAGGAGTATCTGCTGGCTGTCGTGACCGAGAGGCATAATTTTAATAGAGCCTGTCTCTCTCCCCCCCCCTTAACCTACATGCTTTAGTGTGGCTGTTTACTGAGCAAGAGTGATAAATTAACAGGAATGACTTTTAAATGGATGAGTTTCAGACGGACTGCACGTCACGGTACTTAATCACAATTTTCATGGCTGATTATGGTGCATGGATTTTGGAATGGAAAAAATAAGCGTCCCATGGAATTTTCTTTGGCCTACCTTCCCGAATTACTGCGCGCACAGGCCTGAAAGTGCATTTTAAGAGGAATTTAACGATGCTGCAAACCGGATATTCCCATCCTGTGTCTTTGCCCGTCTCTCGTTTTTATGAGGGAAGCTGTAAAAAATGATGTCATGCATATTTTAGTTCTGCTGTGTGCATGTAGAGTTGTGATCACAGCGCCCCCTTGGTGCACCCAACCTCCATGCTTGTGATCATGGCTCATGGTGGCTGGGTTACAGCTACACAGGCCTTTAGCTGCAGACATATTGGTTTCCTTCTGTCCCACCCACCCCCCGCTGTTTGAGGTGACACGTGGACCGCCTGTCGGCTGCGGTACCCATCTAGCTTCCTGGTGCCCCTCCCGCCTCCTGCCCACCCCATGCCTGTCCCTTGTCTCCGTCGGGGTGATTCCTTGCCACCCCAACCCAACCCCCCCCGGCCGCGAGGGTTCATACTGATGCCATGTGATATGGAAAGAGGACTGACACGTGCACTGACTGTGCTCCGCTGGCTGTGCAGGAGCTGCGTGGAGCTGCTGCTCTCGCTGCCGGAGCCGGTGCCCGTCGCCCTGTGGAAGGACGTCCAAGTCTCTGTGCAGGTAACAGCCTCTGCCATTATCATTCCTGGAACGTCTTCATCGGAAGGATAAAAATCATGTTTGTTTAATTATTTGGTAGCTGCTTTAGAAGTTCCTAAATCGGCATAGTGTGGTGGCTTGTTGGTGTTTGGCTGAGGGTTTGTCACGGTATTGGTTTGGGGTTTATTTCTTGACATAGTGATTAGCGTTGATTCTCACTCTTTGTTCCATCTGAGGATGAGTGTTTTTATTTCATGCTCTTTATAGCTGGATATTCAGGAGCACTCAGGCTCTTCCCACACATACCCTGGGGCTCGCACGTCTCTCGTGTCTGTGCTGCATAGAGGGTTTCTCCTACCGCTTGCGGCACTGACCCCGCACACACTGGAGCTCGCACGTCTCTCGTGTCAGTACCATATAGAGGGTTTCTCCTGCTGCTTCTGGCTCTGACCCCAAACAACCTGGGGCTCGTATGTTTCTCGTGTCGGTTCTGCGTAGAGGGTCTGTCCTGCAACTTCCAGCGCTAACCCCGCATACACTGGGGCTCGCACGTCTCTTGTGTCTGTGCTGCACAGAGAGTTTCTCCTACCGCTTACGGTGCTGACCCCACACGCCCTGGGGCTTGCACATCTCTCGTGTCGGTGCTGTGTAGATGGTCCCTCCTTTTCTTTCGGCGCTAACCCCGCACGCCCTGGGGCTTGCACATCTCTTGTGTCGGTGCTCCACAGGCCGGTGTTCCTCCACACAGGCATCCTGCAGTTTTGGTAGATGTTTAATGGAAGCCGATGGCTTTCACTGGTGGGATTGGATGTGTAGCATTAGTGTGACTTACAGCTGCAAAGACCTTCTGCAGGCTTGACAGGATTTCTTGTTCATATACAGTTTTACAGGGTTTTGCACTCATGCTGGTGGTAAGAGTTTAATTTCAAAACTAACCTCAAGTCATCGTTTTGCCCTGTAACCCTGTCCTGGGTGGATGCCTGTTGTCTCTCTATGTAGATAGAAATTTAGAGGTAGTTTTGCTTAATTACAGTGTGAATCGGGTCCCCACTGGTGTAAGCACACTGAAGAGCTGCCTGATTCTTGTTTGAAGGCATCGGAAGGCTGCTTGTTCATCCTGTATCCCTGGCGTGATTGAGGGCAGGCTTTGCAGCGCCCCAGACATTTCCAGATCTTTAGCCGACCTCATCTTTATCCAGATCCACGTAGATTTCGAGAAGGCGGGGTCGAGCAGTCCCCGGAGCAGTTGGGATTAAGGACTTTGCTCAGGGGCCCAGTGGTGACATCACTCTGGATTTGAACCGGCAACCTTCCGATCTCAGGCACAGCACCCTAACCCGCTGAGCTGCGCAGGGCTGCGCTGTCCTCAGGCGTCCCAGCAGTGGTGCAAGCGGGCACCTTCCAGACGCCCTATTTACAGTGGCTTCCTTGTGGCACTGCCGGGGCGCGTGTCGGAGGCGGCCGCCGACTCCTCGCTCTCCCCCGTCCACAGGTTGCTGACAGTCTGCTGCAGCAGAGTGGCATCTCGCAGCTGCACATGCTGTCCGTGCTGGCGCAGGAAGGCGGCCCGTGGACCAATGCGACGCTGCAGAGCATCATGTCCAAAGAGGCTCCTGAAACAAGCAAAGGTAAAAATAATAAAGTGGGAAAAAAAAATTTAAACTGGTGCAGAGCTGCTTGATGCATGTCCTCCTTGCGCTCTGACCTTCAGTTATTGTCACCTGGATTGTGCTGCTCAGCACTGTGTTGGTTACACTTGGTGATCCACTGAACCCTAACCCTAACCCCCCCCCCCCCCCCCGCTTTCTCCAGTCCAAGAGTTTCTAGCGGCGGAGGGCCCCATGCTGCTGGAAATGCGGGTGAAGCACCTCGTGAAGGAGAACCGCGTGGAGACGGCTGCCCTGCTGGCCAAAGTGTGCGCGGAATACCCCGGGTTCGAGGGGAAGGGCCACTTCAAACAGACGTACCTGGTTTGTCTGTGCACCGTGGCCTCGCGAGACCAGCTGATGCAGGAGGTGAGCGTGTCGTTCAGGAAGGAAGATCAGAGGCGCCCCCCACCCCCCCCACCTACTGGAGGCATTGCACTGACCCCACCTGTCCTGGATCTGAGCTATTTGAGTTCAAAGAATAAAATGTTTGATTGGTGCTTTTAATTTATTTGGGGTTTAATAATATAATTTCATTATATACACAAAACTATTTTAAGATTTGGTAAGTTGTACCTGTCTGAATAGAACCTTTGTGGTGTTGTAATTAATGGCCTTACCCACAGTGGTGTTACATCCTTGTCCACCAGAGGGCGAGCTGCAGAGTCAAATGACATTCCTTTGCAGCTTGGTGATGCAGCCTCATGCTTTCCCATGTACTTTGTGTCAGAAAACATGAACATATGCTGCCCACTGAGATATGAGACTCCTATGTAACGCAGGCCCTGGGCCGTTATTCTCCCTTATTGCTTTTTTTCGTAAAGGTTCGTTAACCTGCTGAATGTGTCCGAGCACAGTGCAGGTGCCTCCTTTCCAGTGACAGTGCAGGTGCCTCCTTTCCAGTGACAGTGCAGGTGCCTCCTTTCCAGTGACAGTGCAGGTGCCTCCTTTTCAGTGACAGTGCAGGTGCCTCCTTTTCAGTGACAGTGCAGTGACTCCCTTTGTTTTTGCAGCTCTCCCAGGTGGACTGCAGGGATGCTTTGGAGATGATCTGTAACCTGGAGTCAGAGGGGGATGAGAAGGGAGCCCTGGGCCTTTGCTCTGCCTTCCTCATGCGGCAGCTTCTCCAGGGAGACATGTACTGTGCCTGGTGAGTGAGCCCCGCCTCACGATGCCCCTGCTGCCCCTCCTCACGATGCCTCTGCCGCCCCGCCCCACGATGCCTCTGCCGCCCCGCCCC